AGCCCAGCTTGTGCCCTGCTTTCCGGCTCTCTACCCCACCGTCCCCCCCATCACCCCCCCTCCCCAACAACCAGCACCCCATGGACAGGCAGGGCTGAGCCCAGGGGTAGAGTGGGCTCTGCTGGGAGGGGGCTTCTTGGGGTGCCTCCCGCTCTGCTCTAAGATCCCGGGGGGGGGGGAGGGGTGGCTGCTGGGGCACAGGGTGAGACCCTGCGAGCCGGGTCCTCCCAGGGGTAAGCACCTCCTTTGCTCCGCGTTGCCTTTTTGGCTTGGGGGCAGAAGGGGAGCCAGCCCCTGCATCCACCAGCCCTCAGGGTGGGTGACAACTGGAGCCCCTGGGCTCCAGCAGCCACAGCCCCCCCCAGGCCAGAGCCCCGCACATCTCGGTGTCTGCCTCCAAGCAATTACATGGGTCTCCTCTGAGCCACGATAGCGGTGTCGGGGTGCTGGCTCCCCATTCAGCCCCTCTCCTTTTCCCACTGCTGACTTCTTTGCAAGAAAAGGTGCAGAGGCTTTTACTTTTGGAGAGAAAGGGACTCCCAGCTCAGAGCCCTCTTCTTGCTGCCTCTCCCAGCCCCAGCAACGGTTGCAGGAAAACTCCCCCGTCTCCTGCTCCTGAGGTGGGACTGTCACTAACGCCCATGGCCCCTGCCTCGGAGGGGACGGTGACCCTCAGCACCAGCTCTGAACATCGGCCGCCTGTGCATGAGCCGGTGGGGACGGTGACCCTCAGCACCAGCTCTGAGCATCGGCCGCCTGTGCATGCCCCGACTGCCGAGGCTTCATACCCCGGGGCCCCTGAACCCCCGATCTAACCCCTCTTCCAGGAGGGTTGCGTCCAAGCTGGAAACAGCCAGCGTTCCCCGGAGTCCCTGCTTCTCCCTGCACCCCAGCTTCTTCCCTCACGCACAAACTTGGATCCAACAGGGACGGCCATGGTGATGCGGTGCCAGAGCGGGTCACCACAGTGCCCCTGCGCAGAGGCTCCCAGCGTGCCAAGCTCACAGCATCACCTTGCTGCCCCCCTTCATGGGACAGGGATGGTGCCCACCTGCAAGGGGACAGCAACATCTCCTGGGGACCACCTCGGAGGTCCCTGTCCCGGCACTTCCCCACTGCCCAGGTTTGGTTTCCAGCATCAGACCCATCCCCTGCTCCTTCCGTCACCCACGTGCTGTTTGCTGAACCATGCGGGCAGGATTTCCAAGCTCCCATTTTCTCCACTTCGATGCATATACCTCTTATTTCTATGGGACTCACCCAGTCTCAGTTTCAGGCACAATTCGCAGGAGGAGACGATGGGAAGCGATAAGGAAGGAACGAAAGAACGACCTCCATGGCCTGAGCAGCGCCCAGGGCCTGGAGCCGCCCCATGTGCTCGGCCAGGGGGCTCATCCTCAGCCCTGCGAGGCTCATCCCTTGCCGGAGTCAGTCTGGAGCAGGTCGAATCCTTCTTCACATCGCTTGAAGTCCGTGGGCGGTGGGTTTGGGTATCCCTGGGGACACACGCCACGGCCAGGCTGTGCCACAGACCCCCCTTGGGTGCATCTTCTCGGAGCTGAGCAATGCCTCCTGAAGACATCGGGATTTGGGCAGCAAGATGGGTGTTTCCCAAGCAAAAGCCTGGTGGGGATGGGGGAATCGAACCGAAGCAGCTCATGGCACGTACTTGATGGCTTCTTGAGCACCACCAGAAGCCCTGAGCACCCAGTGCCAAGCGCTTGCAGCAACGCTGGCATTATATCCGCACCAGCCTCGCCTGCGGGACAGCCCCGGCTGTTTGGCGAGAAGTCTGCATTTCCCGACTTTATTTACTGCTTTGTTTAAACGCGCTATTTGCAACTAAGCCGTGGCTGCACATTGCGTTTTGTTCTGAGGTTTGCTTATGATGTGGCAGGGAGGAAAGTTGTTTGCCCTTGGTTGACTTCACTTTGCACCTCCGGGAAGGAGAAGGGAGGCAGAGTCTCCTCAGTTACTTTGAAATGAAATATACGGTGCTCATAAGCAGGTAAAGCCTTCAGAGAGCATGCACAGGCCAAGGTGACACACAAACTCTCCTGCCGTTGGCGCTGCAAATTGAATATATAATAAGACGGCACTTGCCAGGGCTGATGCATTTCGTAAGACCAATGATTTGCTGTGGGCATGGAGGAATTTCTGCCTCACCAGAAGCACTGCGGAGCCCGTATCCTCTCCGACGTGATCAGTGAAAGAGCTGTCATTATGTTTGCTGAGAGCGGAGGGCAGTGTCCTCTGCAGGACCCAGGAACCCATGGTTTTCTCTCCCAATCCATAGGTTTAGCGAAGCTGCTGCTGTTGAGGACTGAAGATAGTGCTGCGGGAGCAAGGTCCACACCAGCTCTCACCAAGGCGTGACCACATCCACTACCAGGCAGAAGAGGGTCAGAGCTAAGTGTCCGTGGGCCAGCTCCTCCTCGGCTTGACTGGGCGACAGGGCATGTTTCTGCATCTCGCGTAGGTCTGACTGTTGGCAAAGCAGCTTTCAGAGTGGCAGGATGCTCCTCTTGAGTGGAACAAGCTGTAGCTTAACCCTGTACCTACAGCACAGCGTGCCTGTCTTCATTTCTGCGGCCAGATGGACGTCAGCTGGACTGGGACTCTCTGCCAGCTCACGGAGCGGCCCCAGGATATGGCCCGTTTCGGATACCCATGGCCAGGGGAGCATGGCCAGCAGTGTGTGTCCTACCTCCACGGTGCTTGCTGCGTGCTGGCTGCTGCCCATCACCGTGCTTTTCCCCGGCACTTCAATTAGGACCAGGAGTTTGATTGCAGGATGCAGAACCAGCTGGAGAGACTGATGGGGATGCAGGAAGGAAACAGCAAAAAACCATCCACACCTCTTCAAAACCAAAAAAAAAACCCAACCCTTAAAAACTCCAGAGCTTATTTTTATCCTTGAAGGAACAGCTTCAAAACCCCAAACTCTGTAACCGGCTCAGTGCCGGGGGAGGCATGGGGCAAGCAGACACCAGTGGTCTGTGCCCAGCATCACCCCACGCCGTGCCCCTCGCAGCCCAGCAGCGAGCTGGCTGTGCAGAGAGCTAGGGCGACCCCGGGGCTATTTATAGCAAGTTAGAAATGAACATGGTTTTTATATCATTATGTCTTTTGCAGAGCTCTGTTCTTACAGGAAAATATTTCAGGAATCCTGAAGGAAACGGGGAGGCAGAGGGAGCTGTATTTTGGGTTTAAAGGCTGGAAAGGGGCTCGCTGGCCCTGCAGCAGTGCACCCAGGGCAGGGACCATGCGGGCGCTGGGCTGGGAAGCAGCTGCCGGCCGCCTTCCCTTGGGCGCTGGGCTGGGAAGCAGCTGCCGGCCGGGAACTGCCTTCCCTTGCATAACCGCTGCATTTTTTTCCCCATCAGTAATCTATTGCTCACTGCCACCCCGGGGGGGAACAGCCTGTGTGTATGGGAGGCAGGAGAGCAAATATGGTAAAATATTTGGGCAGCTTCCCTAGGGAAAAATCCTGAGTCATTCTTCTAAATTACACTGGGGTCTTTATTGTCCCTGGCCGTGGCGGGGGGTTAAGGTCGTGCCTCAGAGACTTGCCCACACGAGACCTGGTGCACAGCAGCGCACTGGAAGGTCGAGGCACGTCCACTGGAGCCGACAGCGTCCCGGGGCCACATCCTTGTGCACAGCCTGCCAGCCAAACCTGCCGACGAGTCTTAGCACGCTCCCGTGTCCGCCTCCTCCTGACTCAGGGGCAGCTTCTGCCTCCTTTCCAGATGGCCTAGGCAAAGAGATGTCCCCAAAAAGCCCTGTCCCTGCAGAGCGGCCGGCGTGGGGCCAGGCGAGACCCCACCAGCAGCACACCCTCCTCCCCTCGGGCGCTGAGCTGCAAATCACTTGAGCTTCCTCCTAAACTGGATCAACGGAGAAATGCTCTGACACCCTTATTCCTGACCACATGCGTGTGGACTTCGTGCTGTAGCTGACCCGATCCAACTGAAAGGCAAACAAACTGAGAGAGGGAATGGGCTGCTCTGACTTCCAGATATGCCACGTCTCTCTGTTCCCTAGATTTCTCCCAGGACGCTACTGAAACGTGTCCCTCACCACTGGAGGCATTCACCCCTCGCTCATGGTTAGACCGGACTAACCACACTGTTTAGCCTGCTTGGATGGAGAAGGATGGTGGGAAAAAACCCCAACCGAAACCCAATGCTTTCCTGCTGGTCTGAGCAAAGAAGCAAAAAAACCCAGCAATGCCCATGAGCCCTTTCCAGCCACCACTGCCAACTCCTTGGCTGATGAATGACTCGGTGCACGGTCAGCACCTGCTCGCTGCAGCCACCGCTGCAGGCCACGCAGCGCGGCAAACCCCGGCAGAGCCACGCCACCACCCCGGAGGACACCCTGCCGTGCCTGCGGGTGCCCGCACGTGCTCCCCTCTCCCACCACACTTGAAAAGCCTCCCTCTCCTCCCTGCTTTTAGTTTTGTTTGCGTTGGGCAAAACCTAAAAATTTAGGAAAAATTAGGAAAAACTAAAGGTGGGCAGGGAAAAGTCTCTTTTCATCTTTTGTGTTTCCCAGAGCGTGTTTTGCTAAGGGTCTGGATTGGGTCTAGCGAGGCGTGCGGTACCTCCCTCTCTTCAGCCTCTCCATTCCAGCCTTGGTTAATGCCTCACTCGTTATCAGCCCCAGCTCCTGTTTTCCTTCATGGATGTATCTTGGCACTTTCAGTGCAAACTGAACTTCGTTTTCGCTTTATCAGGACCAGCTACTCCGTACACGGCTTAGCCGACGTTAATGAGAAACTAATTCTCTGTCCTCTGCTGGGTGGAATAAGTGACCTTTCGATTGCAGTTTAGCAAAGCATGGGTCCCAGCTGTGGACGTCTCAAGGTCAAGGAAAATGCTGATCAAGTGAGGAGAAGTTTTGGGGTTATTATTGAACCTGGGAGGCCCCTTCAGCTCCACCTGCCAAGAAAGGGCTGAGTTCAACCTTGATTTTAAGAGGTGATGGGCAGGACACTGCTGGGCAGCCTCACCGCATCCCTGCTTGCCAGACTGAGGGCTGTGAATCTGGTCACAAAGGTGATTTGTGGCTCTTAGTGATTTTTTTTTTTCCTGCCTGGGACCTCCAGCTTCAGCAAAAAATACTGGTGGAGATGTAATGACCGTAAAGATAGTCCTCTGTGGAGGCTCACTTGGAGAATCATAGAATCATAGAATCATTGAGGTTGGAAAAGACCTCTAAGATCATCAAGTCCAACCGTCGACCCAACACCACCATGCCCACTAAACCATGTCCCTAAGCGCCTCATCTACTCGTCTTTTAAATACCTCCAGGGATGGGGACTCCACCACTTCCCTGGGCAGCCTGTTCCAATCTTTAACCACTCTTCCAGTAAAGAAATTTTTCCTCACGTCCTATCTAAACCTCTAAACCAGAAGACCCTGTTGTTCTCCTGGGCTCTCTGGACACCTCACTGAACAGTTAATACCCAAGTTATCTGCTGTCACATCACATCCCTTCCCCAGGTCTGGCCTGGAGCCTGCAGTCCCTCCAGGAAGCACTTCATCCATCACATAGGCCAGCTCTTGTGTTGCTGGAGACACCGTTTAGCTCCAGCCATGCCCTGACACCCCTCCTGGTTCTGATGGGGTGAGGAGAAGATAACAGAGTCCCTCGTGTTCCCGCTTGGGGCTGCTTTCCCAGGGCTTTGCAGAGGGAAGCAGGCACAATTTGTGAGACCTTTGACCATCTCAGTCATTGCTCCCTGCCTCAGTTTCCCCTCGGGTAGCACCCAGAGTCCTTATCCACCCCATGTCCCCCGGCTCTGCTCCTCAGCACCCTCCACGCTCCCCAACAGCCTCTGGGCTCAGAGCAGTAAGGGTTTCCATCCCAGGGCTCATCTTCATCACCCCATAACCGCTCTCTTCTAGGAGACACAAGCTTTACAGGGAGGAGCTGAACCTAACCTCCCCAGCGGCGCCGCTGCCGCTCCGGCCGGAGGCCAGCTGGCTCCAGTTCCACCTGGGCATCAGCCGGGACGGGCTCTACCCGCGCTCCAGCCCTGCCGTCAGCAGGCTCCTCCGGGACATGCAAGACTTCACCACTATCAGTGCCGGTAAGCACCCTCCTGCCGCAGGGATGGGGATGTGGCCATCGGGAGCTGCACAGGGCTGGGGGTCTCCAGCCCCCCCAGGTCACTTTTGCAAACGAGGCAGGGGCTGTTGCTCACCAGAGGAAGCCCCAAGCCCTGTGCCGGCTTCCCGGCAGGTTTTGTGCTGTGCTGTGCAGTTGCCGTGCCCTTACCTTGAGATGGGAGGAAAGACTTGGCTGCGACCCTTGATGCAGCATTTTTTGGTGCCAACCATGCCGGGGACCCATTGCATGGAAGTTTAGTCCCAACAGGCTGCCTCAGCCATCCCCGAGGGGACTGCACCCCTCGCCGTGCACCGATGGTACCAGGGTTGCCAGGCTGGGGCAGCACGGGCAGGCAGGAACGGGCAGGCAGGAACGGGCAGGCAGTGCCTCCCTGCATACCCCATGCTGGGAGGGGGGTCAGCAGCAAGAGACTGAGCCCAGCAGGGTCTCACCGCTCCTCCTGCCCTTGCAGACTACAGCCAGGACGAGAAAGCGCTGCTGGGGGCCTGCGACTGCAGCCAGAGTGAGTGTGACGCTTCGGGTCCCTGCTGTCCCCCCACATGCCATCGCTTCCGCTGACCCCAATGCCCAACTCCTCCGCCCTAACCTCAGCAAGGGAAACGTAAAGCCAGGCAACACCAGCCCCTTCTCCCTCCAATTAAACCCTGCCACCCCAGATGTGGGTGCCAGGATACCAGTACGCCACTGGTTTCTACTGGGGGGAGGAAAAAGTCCCCAAGAGGACGTAACAAATGGCTGTTGGGAGAAGTGCTGGAGGGAAATCTCCTCTATGGCCCAGGGGAGAAGGAGAGAGGAAAAATAACTGCAGAAGCAGAGGGGAGAAGCACCAAAGCAGAGGGGAACAGCTGGAAGGAGCGATGGGATGCGCTCACCAGGGTGGAAAGCTGAAATCGCACCGGAGTGTGTAACCGGTGCTTCACACCGGTTACCTCCCCCAGCTAACCGCGGGGGAGGCTTTCCGGGCAGCTAACGTCCCGTTTCCTCCCCAAGTCGTGAAGCCCAGCGGCGTGCACCTGAAGCTGGTCCTCAGGTTCCAGGATTTTGGGAAAGCCATGCCGGGTGTGTGTAGCCGGTCCTTCACACCGGTTACCTCCCCCAGCTAACCGCGGGGGAGGCTTTCCGGGCAGCTAACGTCCCGTTTCCTCCCCAAGTCGTGAAGCCCAGCGGCGTGCACCTGAAGCTGGTCCTCAGGTTCCAGGATTTTGGGAAAGCCATGTTCAAGCCCATGAGGTAAGGCACACCAGCAGAGCCCCCACCGAGCCCCCCCGCCGCCCCGCATAGCCACGAACCAAGGAGCCCCACAGCGAGGGGTGCGAGCATCCTTGGCAAGGACAGGCACGCCACAGCCGTGTCTTTCCTCTCCTGCGCTCAGCTACCTGGACAGCTGAAAAGGTTTAATTATTATTGGCTGCTTGCACCATCACAGAGCCACACGCAGATGAACACCGGTGTTCCCACACTGCTTATTGACGTTGGAAGTTTCTCAGTTCATAGATGCCAGACGGTGAAGGACTTTGGGGCAATTTGCTGTTAGGGACTGCCCATTTCTTCCTCTTCCCCAGCTGACTTTGTGTTTTACCTTGTTTCTCCTTGGATTCCCCGGAGTATTTCCAAGAAATAGCCATCAGTCCCGGTCACCTCAAACAGGAGTTTTAAATTGGTTCTGCACTTATTTCTAGCCCCTTAGGACTCTTCACATTTATTCCCTCTCACTTTACTTTCCGTGCACAGGCAGGGCAGCTGGCAGCACACCGACTGTGATGGTTTGCTCATCCAGAAAGCAGCCAGCTCCTGTCCCGTTGGTTTCCATCCACCTCTGCCCAGTGTCCGGCAGGTCTGGGAGGTGAAGGAAAGCGTCCCTGCACTCAGCTGAGCCAGGAGGGCTCAGCAATGCCTGTGGGCTTTCCTGTGATGTACAGCTGCTTGGGAGGCCGAGCATGCAAATTCACATAATACATATATTGGGGCACTGTGTGACAGCCAGAAAATGAAATTAAAAGAGCTGGGGTTCCCATCTCAGGGATATGAGAGCATCAAACCTGAGCTCTTTTCTGCCTCCCACAGGGATGTGAGAAGTGCAGCATGGCCTCTAGCATCCCCCGGTGTTATACCCACTCGAAACGCTGTCCTAAGTAAGTGGGTCTAAACTCTGGCACAAATAGTTTTAAAGCCCACAGTCAGCCCTTCTGCCTCCCTCACCCACCCGGCACTGAGCCAGGGCACAAGCACTGCTCCCCGGCACAGAGGGTTGGCTCCAGCTCAGCACCGGGCACTTTGGGTCCTGGTGCTGCAGCTCTGCCCGGTGGCCCTGGCACCGGCGTGGCCACACGGCAGCTGTTCCCAAGCACATCGGCTGTCCCTGGGTGCACTGTCCTTGTGCCACCACTTTGTGTCCAGGCTGCCTCCAGCTGCCCTCACCGGTGCCTGCCTGCCCTGCCGGGCCCGGTTAGATTAACCCCCTTGATCTCTCCCAGGCAGAAACGTGATGAAGAGACTCCCGAGGACTTTTTCTACTTCGTTGACTTCCAGCGGCACAACGCAGAGATCGCCGCCTTCCACCTGGACAGGTAGGGGCCTGCCGCGGTGCCTGCCTCCTCCGGCTGCCAGCGCCTGGTCTTCTGCCCATGGAGAGCTTGGGCATGAGGAAAGCCGTGCTGAGTCCTGCAGAGCTGCTTGGCCTTAGATAAGTGATTGCTTTGCAGCACCCTTTTGGGAGCTGCTGCATTACCTGGGGACGGGGCAGCTCTGGCTCTCATCTGAAGCCCAGGATCAGCTTTGCCCTGGCCGCTGCATGAGAACAGGCTGGCAGATGAAGTCCAGGTTGCAGATGGGTCAGGTATTTGTCACACGCACGTGGTCCCTCCCATGCATCAAAGCGCAAAGATGAGCTCTGGGTGCAGCCTTGATCCCCTCCCGGTACGGGAGTCCCATGCTCAATCAGCAATCAAGGCATGTTTTGGATTGAGATAAACTGCAGCGATGCAGTTTCAAGCCCTCAGCTAATGAGCAATTAACCTGGCACCTCTTCCCAGCAGGCTCTGTATTTCATAAAATCAAAAATACCCTTATTAGAAGAGGAGAGCAGCAGCCTTCTTCCCCTCAATGGGATGAGTATTGAACATCGAGGAAAGTGATCCCTGATGATGACAGTGGATGGGGCTCTCCAGTTCCCACACCCAACTTATATGATAAGCAGGACTAATCTGTAAGTCCTGTAGCTCAAACTGAGCGAGGGAATGAAGAGAGCTGAACTCCCTTTCCAGCTCTGCCCCTACATCACCCCAGTGACTCTAGTTGACTCACCTACCATCAGCTTGCGTCTCTGCATCCCAGCTCCACCGCCAGAAAAATGAGGCCAGACTGCTTTTCTGAAGTGCTTTGTGGTTTTTAGAGCTGAAAGATGCTAGATGAAAGCAATTTTTTCTTTAAACATTGCTCAATAAGTAACAGGCAAAATCCTGTTTTGTGCCAGATTCTCAGAAGCAGAGGGCATTACCCAAGGAGCAAAGCACAGCATTAGCAGTTCACCCCGTGTTACTGACTCAGCAATCAACAGCGGCTTTCCATTCACTGACATAAATGCCTGCCTGCCCCGGGCCCTGATTTTTTTTAAGAATATTTGAGATGAATCAGTTGGGCATGAGTGCCTCCGAGTGGGGTGATCACTCCTCGCCTCCTGCTGTCTCAGCCGCATTGTACCAGGTTCAACACATCTTTGCTCCGTGTCAAACCCAACATTGTAGAAGGGCCTGAAGGGCTGTTCTGCCTCCCCAAGGACCCAGCTTGCGTACAAGGGGATGGGAGAAACCGGTTAGGGAAAAGACATGAATCCTGGAGAACATCCAGATCATTCCAAGCAGCAGCTATTAAAATACCAAAACCCGAACTCAGCTGCATTTTGGTCCAGAGGGTAAAATGATCCTGGCTATTTGCTAGAAAGAAGCTGGGAGGAAAAAAAACCCATGTGAGTGCAGTCATCAAAAGGCCCCTGGTTTACCAACGGAGGGACGAGGGCCGCATCTGCCGTCCCACGTTGCTCTCCTGTGCAGTAACGCCCCTTTGCACCGCAGGCTCTGAGCAGCCGTCCCTTTTGTGCAGGATCCTGGATTTCCGGAGGGTGCCGCCCACAGTTGGGAGGTTGATCAACGTCACCAAGGAGATCCTGGAGGTCACCAAGAACGAGATCCTGCAGAGTGTCTTCTTCATCTCACCAGGTAGGCGAGCGCTTGGCTGCCGCGAGCTGGGACTAGGCATGTTGGTCCATGGTGGGTGGAAGGGCAGGGTCTGCAGGCAAAAGGGGCCAGCAGGACTTATGCTGTTGAGCAGAAATTAAAGTCTTGGGTGAAACAGATGTGCAAAGACATGGTTACAGCAGAGGTGTCCTTCAACCTCTAGCTGGAATTATCTGCCAGATCTACTCGCCTGCCCAATTTTCCCCAGCCTTTCCCCTAGCATGGGACCAGGTCTGTCCATCAACCAAAACCCAGCTATCCTCCATCGATCCTGCCAAACGGCAGTTTCGCATCCATGATGTGGTTACATATGCCACAGTATACACAGTCACCGTCACGCGATGGGGAAGAGGCCAGTCCAGGCTACCTTGCAGCCTCCTGCAGATCGTAGCTCCTTTCCCCAGTTCTCCTCCCTCTTCTCCTCCCAGCCAGCAACGTGTGCTTCTTTGCCAAGTGCCCGTACATGTGCAAGACTGAGTACGCGGTGTGTGGGAACCCTCACCTCCTAGAAGGGTCCCTCTCCGCCTTCCTGCCGTCCCTCAACCTGGCGCCACGACTCTCCATCCCAAACCCATGGATCCGGTCCTACTCGTTTGATGGAAAAGAGGAGTAAGTGGGTAAATGATGCTGCTTCCCATATCTGCATTGCAGGGAGCGCGTGGGAAGGAGAATAAGCAGGGTACAAACACACAGAGATACATACAGAAATTGTATGTCCAGGCAGAGGAAGGCCAAGGTTCAGAGATTGCCCATAATTAGTCTAATAACTCTTAATGCCTGGGCATTGACTGGGTTTGACTTCCAGTCTCCTGCACGCACAAGGACGGAGATTTAAGTCGTCCTTCTCTCCATCTCTGCACGGGAGACCGGCTTTGGGGTGCTGTTGGGACACAGCAGCAGCAACTACTAAGTGCATCTCCCCCTTCTCCTCCATCTCCTACAGGTGGGAAGTGAATCCGCTCTACTGCAACACGGTGAGGGAGATCTACCCCTACAGCAATGGCAACCGCCTGCTTAACATCATTGACATGGCCATATTTGACTTCCTAATAGGTATGATGAAGGGGGAAATCACGTTCCCTCATTCCGTGTGGGCCTTCAGCATCAGTCTGTCTGCCCTCCCATGCCACAGTGTTTCTCAAAGCCATCCCTTCTGCTCCAGAGACAGTTTTGAGAGACTGCTGTCTCCCCACAGCCAGCCAGCACAACCCCTCCTGATGCGCGGGCGAGGGGGAGCCCCCAGGCCCACCCCAGCCCACTCCCCGGGGGGGTCCAGCAAGATGAAAGCAGCAGCTCTGAGCATCTTAGACACTTCCAGCAAGGCAACAAGTATTTCACACAGATCTGAAAAAATATAGGATAGTTCAGAAAATTACTTGGTCACATGCAAGGGAAACTCTGTTCCTCTGTCTGCCCTTTACCAGGGAACATGGACCGTCACCACTATGAAATGTTCACCAAGTTTGGGGACGACGGCTTCCTCTTACATCTGGACAACGCCAGAGGGTGAGGCTGTGCGAGGACACTGGGGAGGTGGGCAAGGGGCTGGGCAGGCACTAAAGCTCTGCAGTCTCTGCTTATCCCCCCAGGTTCGGGCGGCATTCCCATGATGAAACCTCCATCCTGGCCCCGCTCTCCCAGTGTTGCATGTAAGTGCCAGCTTCATCTTCCTTCCCAGACACGTTGGTGTTCCCACCGTAACGGACCGGCAGCGCTTCCTGCTGGAAGTCACCCGGGCCCGGCTCCATCCAGCAGCACAGCGAAGAGCCCCTGCTAATCCCAGCCAAGGGGGCAGGCCAGACACCGGAGCACGGGAATCACGAGTTGTCCCCGAAACAGGGATTAAGCTTTTATATCAGTTCGAATATTAAGCTCTGTTGTGCTGCAGCCTGCTACAGTGTCGTACAACTATCCTTCCTGGATACTTTCCCGTTGAAGTTAAAAGGCCTTGCAAGTGTAAAAGCTTTCACTGACAGACCAGGAGACACTGTCCATTGGATCAAACCCTTCCAGAAGGATCTCCTAGCATTTCCCAGCCCATCGGCATAAGGTGCTATCAGCCCCATTCGTCTGACACGAAGCTCAGAAATCTCCATCCAAAAGCCTGGTAGAACTTTAATACAGCTAATCAGGTTTCTTCTTCCCATGGCATTACGCAGAAGCTCATAAATTTTACTATTTGAATCCTATCTTCTCCCTTTATCAATTCATGTAAATCATCAGCTGAAAGTTAAATTTAAGAGACAGAAAAAGCCGCTCTTCCCTGTGGTTTTTCTTTAGGAGATGCCTAACCTATTTCCTCGCTGTACCTGCTCCATCTCAGCGTAAGGGTGTTAACTGCACTCTCTCCCCATACACTTGTATTACTGGATCTCATTTTAAGAACTGTTATTTGCACCCAGTGAGCCTTTTCATTTATAATTGCAGGCTCACAGTGAATCCTTCTCACGAACTCCTATTTTGTGCCATTTAAATTAACTCTGCCTCTTAATTTGACCTGTATACAGTAAGATCCACAGGTCAGATCCTTCCTGTTCTTCCAGATCCACCTCCCAGAAGCTCTTCTTAATTTAGTTCTCCTTGTAAAAGACAGTGGTAAGACGACCTGCAAGTCGCACCTTGTAATAAGCCAACTAGGGCCAAGAACAGCGTAAAAGCAACTCATGCTGCCTGAGAGAGATACACAGAACTTCATTTCCCACAACAACCAATCCATTCGGAGTGGAGGAGCATCCAAAAAACACTTGGAAAGGAAAGAAAAAGTTTTCCTTGAGTAAGTAGAGAGGCCACAGATTTCAGCCTGCCCTGACCAACTATCTGGACTCAGCCCACAGTCACCTCCTTGTTCCTACGTGAAGTCGAGCCGTGTACACCTAAGTAGGAACAAAGTCCTCCAGCCCCACCGGACAAGAGGGACCACTCAAACCACAGGGGTGCTGAATAACAGGCCGCTTGCTTCCCTGTTAAACACGTTCATCTCGTTCCCAGTTGAGTTCTTCTCTAAGTTTGGCTTCCAGCAAGATTTAAGTCTTCTGGTATTTCTAGCTACCTTTCACAGCTCCCACGCCAGTCCTTGTCCCACACGTTGAAGTCTGCTGCTCTCCTCTCCCGGCATTGCTCCGAGTACAGTAAATGGCACAAATACAGCCATGCAGTAAGAGATGGTCCTTTTCCTGAAAGGGTCAAAACCCTCAACGAGGAACAGATAGGCCTGGAAACAGCCCGCAGTTAACCTGGCTCATGGATCTTCTTGGCTGATGAAGTCCCTAGAAGGCTCTGGTTCAAATCTTCAAGAATTCAGTACAACAGCGAGGTTACAACTGCCCTGTGGGCGAGGAGCAGGGCCGGTGGCAGGATTTCCATCTCGTGCTCCTTTCCATATTCTGCCTGTTTCTTATGTAACTGTTACAGCATTAAATAAGCCATTCCCCACAGGGCCAGACTATCCTGTTCTCCACCTCCAAGCCCCGTCACTGTTCAGACAAGAGCAAACACAGCTGGTGTTTACCCACAGCGGCTCCTCAGAGTCACCCCTTGCCTAGAAGGAGAGTGCACGCACGCTCGTTTGCTGCAGTTCACATCTGCTCTGCATAAGGCTTTCTCTGGCAGCAGCAGAACCTCACAGCCGTGCTCCGGCAGTGATTTAAAGCCTCGTTGCCAGCCTTAAGCACTTTATCAATTGATTATTTTTTGCAGGAATATTAAGGCAAGCCTGGCAGCGGGCAGCCAGGACAACAGCCACAGTTTAAGTCACCTGCCCCCGTGCCAGCACCGCGCAGGAGGCAGCCGGTCGCAGCACCTTTCTCCCTCCCTTGTGCAACGCAACAGGCATCACTGAGCAAAGACACACAACCTCGCTTGGCTGCTCCAGAGCGCTGCGGGCACCTGGTGCAATTCAGCCACTGCTCGGCCAGGCAGAGCAGCAGCAACAAGGCCTTTCCCCTGGCATCTGAACAGCATGTGTCCTGTTAAGAGTTGCAGAGAGCCAGATCGATGCCCTGGGTAAATAACAGGCATACAAAGGCAAGTTCTGGAGCTGGTTAAAATGTTTCTGACTACACCTTTTTCCATCTGAAAATTCTGGCTCAGTTAAATAGGAATGGCTCCACAAACACGATCTACTTTGTTACCAAAATTTAAAGGGCAATAATTAAAACCACTGATTAATTTCAGTGTTAGAGATGCTGAAGTCAAAACACTTTTGCTGAGGATTAAACAAATGATTTCAGAATACTTAGTTTCGTTCCCAGAAGTGTTCCAAGATTATAGCTTTCCATCCCACTTTCTGTCAAAGGGAAATAATATTTAAGTCTCAGTACCTCTTAAGGTGAAAAGTCACAGTTAAATCAGTTCCAGGAAATATTCCCTCTTTTTGCTCAGAGTTTTGACAGAAGAATTTTTTTCTCATTCACACCTTTTCCTTTTACCTCCCCCTCTGCCCCCACCCCATAAATGTCATCCTTGGGAACATGGCACCACTCTGCAGTAATCTGGGGAACTGGGTCATCTCTTGACTTGGAGGAAAAACACTCATTACTGAGACCTTCTATCATGTTTTTCTCTCTGATGACAGAAGTCTGCAGTACAAATACTCTGCAGTCTGGAAAAACAAAGCAGCAGAGGTTTCTGCAAAAAAAAATTTCATTTCCTTCAGAAAGGGAAAGCTTTTGTTCCACAGTTCTTTGTCAAGTATCTTCACCCATCTCTGCCCTCCCTCCTTCCCCTACTACCAAGGGGCTCAGACAGCTGGGTCTTGCTAGGATGCAGCGAGAAGTTTGCATTAAGATGTCCAATTTCTTTTTTTCCAGAATAAAGAGGACAACGTTATTACGACTCCAGCTCTTGGCTGAGCCCGAATATCGGCTCAGCGACGTGATGAGGGAATCTCTCCTGCAGGACCTCCTGGCACCTGTCCTCACCGAACCCCATCTCTTGGCTTTAGACAGACGGTTACAGCTTATCCTGAAAGCTGTGAGGAAATGCATAGACACGTATGGAGAAGTCAAGGTGGTGGCCAACGACACGACGCAGCCCGAGGCTCCTGCATCTGACAAAGTGAAGCTGACCACTTAAACAGTCTTTAACTCATGCTCAGAGGTGGGGAAAACCCCTGCAAGGCAAGTGTTTTAAAAGCTGGTAATTTCCATCTACAAACGCTTGTGGAGACTGACAGGGGAAACTCTTCAGAAGATCTTCAAGAATCACACTGGGCTTCTATGCTGGGTACTCAACCAAAGCTTCTGTGCCTGGCCAGTGTGTTGGTAAGTTGTGGTCTGACTGTAGCAGACCTTTACAACCTGAACACCATCTCTCTGGTGGAAAAGGAGCGATCTCCTGTTCTGTAGTTGGTCATGCCCTTGGGAGGGCGGGGGAACACGTGGCCATTGGTTTGCTCAACCCACACGGGATCTCGGTCTTGCTAGTGAAGGACACAAACTAGGTCCAAGGATGAGGCTTGAATAAAGAGATGCCACGAGCATTTTCGTCTTACTAAGTCTCTGTTCTGTAATCAAGACTGTGTATTTGAGAAAAGAGCAATCTTACTTCACAAGGGCAGTACCTGCCACTGAGACAAGACATGTCGATTCAGCATGGTCAGACTGAAGAGCATCTGCCCAGTAATCACCATCAAGCCTGTCCGTTGCCTCTTGGTCTCTTCAACAGCGACCAACCCACTCCACTCCGATCTCTGCACATCGCTCAAAAGCCCACTGCCTCACAGGGCAGTAAAACCACTTCTACTTTTACCTGCCTCATGGGTGGAAGAGCCAGTCTGGGTTGTAAGAGAAGGGCAGGTATGTGTTGCCTTTGACCCCAACAAAAAAAAAAAAAACAACCAAAACAAACCACCAAACCAAACTGCTCAGAGGCATAGGACTGTATTCACAATCCAAGAAGCCACCCACTTCTGGTGAAAACATTTTGCCAAAGTGGGGGATCTATCTCAGGTCATCTCCTCACTTCTCATAGCTTTAAAATCCCTTAAGTTGTCAGAAGTCCCTGGAAAACAGAAATGGTACACCCCCACCCCACCCCCCATCTCTGTGCATTTTGAGGAGATGCAATAGGAACTGGAGACCAAAAAAGAAAGAAAAAGTGAGAAGGGAGTTTTTGGAGATCTTTGAATTTGTAGTTTTCCCCTTGCCTCTCAAGGACAAGGCTTAAGAATAGTTTGATTACTGAAGCTCTCTTTAATAGCTTTTTCCTTTAACTGTTCAAGAACGATTGCACTGAGCTTTTTGGCAGCCTAGGGAAAGTGGTTGAGAACTTTGTTGACAATTTATCATCCTTAAGGGGAAAAAAAAACAACCCACCACAACCAATCTACTAGAAGCTCATTCTAAACTAACCTTTAAGTTAAACAAAAACCATCTACAGCACTGCAGACCTTTCAGAGGAGAATCCTAAAACCATAGTACAAATGTTGTCAGGCAGCAGTTGTTAACAGGTTCTCAGCAAGCTGCTGCACCTACCACTGGCTCATTTTCGCATGGGCTGGAATCCTGCCCAACCTAAAGGGAACTCGGTGATGCTGGCAGTAAGTGCCTGGATCATGCAAGGAAGGAACAAAGCTTGTTTGGCCACAGCTATCGTTTTTCACAGGGGACTGTGCTGACATTTAATTCAGCTCCACAATAATTCTACAATACACATCTCCACACTGTAAAACTACAGAACAGGCTGTAGTCGTAATTTGAGTACGTCCCTACAGGTGCCTATTCTATTTATTTGCATGAGGAAGTATGGAGTGTTTCTACTTAGCAAAGAGATTCCTCCAATATTCTAAAGCCACAAGGGTTAGCAAAAAAACCCCACACAAACCCAACCAGCCAAAGAAAAAAAAAAAACCAAAACACAACCAACCCACCACGCTCCCCTTTAGTCTCTCCCGACTTGGGATTCAGCCATGTCCTTCCATTTCCAGCTTTCACAAAAGCAAGGTTTTAGACAGTCTCAATCAAACAGAATTCTCAACGTTGGTGAGCTAACAGACCTTTTTACTCTTGTGGACAGAGAATAGATGAAAATAAAACGATTTAACTCACTCAAAAAAAAAAAACCAAAACACAACCAACCCACACCACGCTCCTTTAGTCTCTCCTGACTTGCGATTCAGCCACATCCTTCCATTTCCAGCTTTCACAAAAGCAAGGTTTTAGACAGTCTCAATCAAACAGAATTCTCAACGTTGGTGAGCTAACAAGACCTTTTTACTCTTGTGAACAGAGAATAGATGAAAATAAAACGATTTAACTCACTCTTGGCATGCACGGTGCAGCCGTTATTTCACTACAGACACTGTATTCCCAAAGTTGTATCTCCCTCTACCGGTGACTTTTTGTGTGCTTACCACACGTGACAAGCCCAAAATTAATTTGGTCGGTGTCACGGAATCCTTACTGTTGGCTGCTTGAACAGGAAGAACATGGCAACGGAAGATAAGTTTAAAAGTAAATTTATAAGGTTGGAAGGGGAAATTTTAAAGTTTCATTTTAGGTAATAAAAAAGTTTTCAGCCTTTTTTTTTTTGTCAAAGGGATGGGGGAAAGGGAGGGTAGGATGAAGGAAACAAACCCACGGATATTCAAATGGCTGGTACACTAACAGGGCTTGCAAGGTTGCTTTCTTTACATGGTAGCTTTTTAATGTATCTTCAAAGTTGGGTGATAGCTTTCTCAGAGCTGGATGTAGAACATGTCCAGCCTGAGCCACTTCAAGTCATCACTCTTCAAATTTTTTCCTACTTCATGATAGTGTGAAAATCCCCCTCTTCTATTTCTCGCTGTCTGTCCACCAGAATTCATTCATGATTAATCATCACGTGTTCAAAACTTTCATTAAGGGTATGCATAGATGGGAGCAGACAACTTACAGAAACTTATGAGCTCCAATAACAGTGGCTGAGCCGGGAATTAACAACCTTAACAAGGGATCAAAGCAGCATGAGTTGCTAAGAGACACTCGAGCAAGACGCAGGTACCTTCTCACTTCAAAAGCAGTCATGTGCACCCAATGCCAGACCTCCAGAGAAGTTCCCAGGTCACAGGCACAGGTTGGCTGGTGGAGACCGAGCTCTCCCACAGGCTCCGGAGGGGAAGATTCAGTTGTGCTGTAAGCTAGGATTTGAACTCAAGCCTCCAGAGTTCACACAGAGCTAATCCATTAGCTTCTTAGTTCCGCCTCATTAATACTGTATTCTCTAAGGCCAAAGGAAAACACAATGTAGGGGTCGGGGGGAGGGGGGAAAGAAGAAAAAAAAAAAGACTGATTGCATTTAAGAATTTAAATCATTTTATTGCTTTACCTGCCATTAGGACAATCTATAACAAAAGGAATAGAATATAATATATTAGCACATACAGTAAATCAGACTTATATAGTCAGGTAACAATACAAAAATGGTCCTCTGGTTGACTATAGCTTTCTAGGGCAATAGACTTCATAAATTCGCTAAAGGTGGACTAGCAAAAAATTACTTCTAAAGCCCTGAATGTTAGCTAAGGCAAAACTATGCCAATTGTGGTTTCAAACATATTTAAATTGCACACAAAGGTAAAGCTATAACTGTGATTAATATTTAACTCAGACTTAGCTGATTTATCTTAAAATCTTGTAGGTAAAACTACAAAAGGGAGTAAACAGCAAGCTAAAAAGATGCAGTAGTGAAACTTGATTAGAAAGCCTTATATAAAAAAAATGTGCATTTTTTTGTGGAGGTCTAATTAGTTTACACAGTTTTTGGTGCTTTAAAGTAACACAAAGAACACATATGAAGAAAAAACCTGGCTAGAGTCAAAACTTAAGAACACAGTTTTACCAAAAAAAAAAAAAGAAAAAAAAGGTAGCATTTGCTTACTCCTTAAGGACTCTGGCAGAAATCCTCTACTCAACTTCTTCTGAATAGAGAACTCAAACCACAAGCGTTTAAATCCCATTACTGGGATTTCAGGTTCAGAAATACCCTGAAACCTTCTGTAAAGGCTTGATACCCTCAGTATTATTTTGCATCAATTAGCAGACTCTTTCTGATTATCTACATGCCTGGGAGAAAGTGTATTGAATTTGAATCCCTATCACCTCAGAAAGGAAATAAATGAGGGCTCCATCGTTAGAAGTAGTTGCACAACAAATGCAAAACTGCTTGCTGTCACTCCCAAATACAAACCTACGCTACTTTATATAAATTACAGTTTAAAGGAAACCTTACAAATGGCCTATCAGTATTGAACCGTGGAATTCAGTAAAAACTTTTGGGAAGTATTGGTGCACACAGAATAATGGAACACAAAGCTGGTAAATACTGAAATACATTTAAGACTCCGCAACATATTGAACTTGGAAAAAAGAGTGAGTATGAAATATGTGTCATGTAAATTCCATAAGCAAGGAAAGAGAATGCACCTTTTGTATTTAAACTAGATTTATAATTAATCATTTTAAAAATAATGAATTGACCAATTAAAAAAAACTTAAAATAACTGAGTGTGGCAGGAAAGTTAAAACATTCACTTTTTCCTGCCTCACATCCTCTACCAAGAATAATGGCATCTCTATAGACCAGCAATCTTGCCACCTGCAACTTGATGCTGGCCATAAATACTCAACATTTATTTTCCCTGGTAACAAAGGGTCACCTGAACTGATGATAATTTTTTAAAAAGTCAACTGAGGAATACAAAGCAAGCAAGAGTCACAGGGAAAATAAAATGTTCACTTCCAATTTCTACACCAACCTAAGTACTTGAACATTACTAACAGCTGGACAGCTGCACCATTCTTACACCAATCTATGTACTAGAGACCAAAGTTAGGCATTTAATGTAATGTTTGGTTCTTGCCACCTTGAACAGGAAGAGTTTTAAATGGCATATCTATCGCTGAAGAAAGAACAAGAAAAAAAAATCAGTTGCAGCAAGTCAGCAAATTAAGTAACAACTGCAGTAGTTCACCAGAACTATTAACCTTGAAAGCTTTGATTTACACTTGACAAAAACATAACTAAGCAATCTTAAACCAGCAGACACAGGAACAATTATACTGTTAAATTCCAACTGTGGCTTTCTTAGCAGCTGATGCCTCACGATTGAACCCAGGATTACAGTACCCAGAAAATTTAAAAAAAAAAAAAAAAGAAAACCCCAAGCCCCAAGAAGCTCAATTACAAGGGCAGTTCTCGTTTGAAAAGAAGTACAGCAGATTATGACCACAGCCTTAAAAATCTGTCCAACAATTTGAGAAACACCTTGAAACCCCCTTAAAAAAAAATCCCCCCCCCCCCCTCCACTGTCACCTTCTTACTCTATGGCAAGTGGCGTGGTGCCAGGAGATCTCTCCCTCGCTGAAGCAAGGCTGCATTTGCCTGAGTTGGACACTGTTGCACAGAGAGAAGCCGTAACAGCAAACGTCTCCATAGAACTTTTTCTATTAATTTAATGGGACAGAGAGCACAGAACTAATATGCTCTAAATTAAAAATAGTGCCATGATAAGCAATTTTTTTTTTTTCTTTTTTTAAACAGACAGGAAGCTGCAAATGCCAGTGGCAATGTGGCTCTGCACAAGGGTAATAAAGCAGTCTGCATTCGTGAAGCATGTTTTGGATAGGAAGTTTTCAGACAGACAGCGATACAAAACTGTTGTACTGCTGGATGTTTCGCTTGAGAATATCCGAGCACGGACCCAGGACACGTTCAAATCGGGGTCGATCAAGCTTTACGCATTTCAACAGGCCACGAGCAACAACTGTGGCAGCACGGGGACGGTTCATCAACAGAGCTATTTCACCTAGG